TCATATCTCTTCCTTCAAAATGCACAAAGAAACCAACATAAACCCTAGCACTTACTGGCCGAAACCCTAGCAAATGGTCTGAAACACACCTCCTATTTAATCCATAACAGAAATCATGCACTGAAATCTCTTACCTTATCGCTGAAGTAACACCCATGCGAGCAGGAGAGCAGTCCACACACAACAACCACTTCACACACAACAGCCACTTAACTGATTTAGGATCAAACTTGCGCTAGGAAGGACTCATATCATGAACAAAACAAACACAACCAAAGACCTTGAGGGGTAGATTAAGAGGTTCATCAGGGAAGGGTTGTTGATGAGGAGAATGAAGGTTAAGGACCCTTGATGGGAGTCTGTTAATGAGATATACAGCTATCTCAACAGCATCACCTCAGAAACGAGTTGGAACAAGAGTTTGGAACAATAAGCCTCGAACAACTTCAACCACATGCCTATTTTTTCTTTCAGCCACCCCATTCTGTTGTGGAGTATGACTACAAGAACTTTGGTGAATAGTGTCCCTGTCTTCAAGAAATATATGCAAGTGATATTCAAAGTATTCCTTGGCATTGTCAGATCTTATTATCTCAACTCTTTTCTCAAATTGTGACTCGACCATATTCATGAAGTTTTGAACAATCATAGGAACTTCATCTCTATTTTTCATCAAATAAAGCCATGTATACCGACTGTAGTCATCAATGAAGAGAATGAAATATATGTACCCCCATAGTTTTCAAGGCACCAAGGTGAGGCTAGGTGACTGGGGGTGCCTAGTCGCCTAGTCGCCTAGGCGCCCGCCTAGGCGATGGATATTTTATGTTAAAAACATAGATCCTAGGGCAGTTCCCTAGGTACCATAACCATATTTCTTTAATAATTATTCATGATTTTCATAAGAAAAGTATAAATTCCATATTAAAGTATAGAAAATCAACATATTCATGAGAAGAAAAGGAATAAGGAAAATAAAACTCAAAAAATATAGGGGCTGAACCCTTATTTTTGTTATAGGAAAAGAAGAAAATAAAAAGTATTGGTAGTAATAGTAGTAGTAGTAGAAGAAGAAGAAGAAGAAGTAGAAGAAGAATATATGGAAGAGGAAAATGTTCTGATTAGATAAAACATTTAGTTCTTCCTTACTTATTGGTTCAGGCTTTTAAGTCTTTGAGGGTTTAATGCAGCATTTAGCAATGTTTATGTTGATTAAACCCTAATAAATAAGAAAATAATAAAAAGAAATTAGTATATAAACACACAAAATGATTATTATAGTTTAATAATGTCTATTTTATAATTATAATCTCAAAAAAGAACGAATAAAAAAGTTCTTTACAGTAGGAAGTAGAAAACTGTTAGGCGATTAGGCGAGGCAAGCCTCAAAGGGCACCTTGTCGCCTAGGCATCGCCTAGGCGTTGCCTTGACAACTATGGTACCCCCCCCCCCCCCAWAAAGGGGACAGCATATGGGCCCCAAACATCAGTATGGATCAAGTGGAAAGCAACATTACTTCTTTCACTGCTTGCAAAATATGTGTTTCTACATTGTTTGGATAAATGACAAACTTCACATTCAAAATTCAATTTAGACACAAAATCAAACAATTTTGGAAACAAAAACTTGACAGAATTGACAAACATATGACCAAGGCGACAATGCCATAATTTCAAAAGACTCATTTTCTCATTAGAACAAGACTCAATCTGGCTTCACAATCCATGCTCTAAAGGTCCATCCAAGAGGTAGACTCCATCCACTTCATGCCTATTTCAAATTGTCTTCCCCATGCTCAGGTCCTGAAAAACACAATGGTTAGAAAAAAAAGGTCACTGAGAAATTATGGGATTTTGTTAGAGAACTAATAGACAATAATTTCTTTTGTAGCTGGGGCACATGTAGAACAAATTCAAGAGAAAGGTTATTAGTGATTCTGACTTCACCCTGACCCGAGATTGGGGTCTGAGATCCATCCGCAACAATAATCTTGCCCTTCCCCGGGGTTAACTTTTATGAGGTAAAATGTGAAGACATACCAGTCATATGGCACTGGCCCCAAAGTCTACAATCCATGGGCTAAAGGAGGTGGAACAAGCAAGTGAAGTACCTGTCTTGGCATATGAACTAGATAAATTACTAAGTCCAGAACCAGATGATGAGGATGTACCACCCTTCTCTAGTTGCAACAATATATTCTTGAGTTTGTCCATCACATTAGTAGATTCAAGCACATCCAAGGGTTGAGCATCATTACCAACTGTAGCCAAG